CAGGGTATGCCATGCCAAAAATGCGTCCACTGCCCATGAACAAGGCGGGAAAATCCATACGGTAGCTACAATTGTCATCATGCTTGTTTGCATGTGAATACGAAACAGTGCAATTAGTTTATCGATATTAGAATGTGTCCTATCATTTCAAGTCGAAATATTATAAACACCCACCACAAAATCTTGTAGTGTATAAATATTTAAATAAGTTGTTTAAATTTATATATTTTAGAATTATGACATTTTCTTTCAGTTGCAATAATTTAAATTGTTGCATTACCAAGGAATGTTTTCAGTTCGCAAAATACAGCATTTGTTTGACAAAAATCAAATTAATCCAACAGGATTATAAGGTAGTACACTAATAGACCCCAGCAGAAATAAGGTTCTTGAGAGAAGTTGGAAACATTCAAACAAGGCAATGGACCATTTGCATTATAGACTAAATTTTTATCTCAACAAGTCTAGATAAAAATTTCATCACAGCTTGAAAGAGCATCACTAGATTAGTAATATTCCAAAGTTTTGTTGCGAAATGTTGTAAAATGCATATAATATAAGCTTTGCGAAGTTTGCCATTTTTTCAGTTGTTTTCTATTACAAACAGGAAAATGACAGCCCAAAGGGTATTGGGCAAACTTCGCAAGGCTATATTATCCGCATTTTACAACATTTCGCAATAAAACTAATTTTGTGATACTCTTTCAAGCTGTGATGAAATTTTTATCTAGACTTGTTGAGATCAAAATTTAGTCTGCAATGCAAATTGTCCATTAGGTATACACCATAGGTTAAAGGAATGGGAATGCTTGGATATGACTGCAAATGCATTATTTATAAAAAAAATTATTTCGTATATCAATGAATTATTATATATTATTTTAAAAACTGACAATCAGCAAAAAGGTAAACATTAATTTTTAAAACAAGTGAGCGATCATAAAGTTTTTGTTAATGTGGGGAGCAAAAGCTTATCATGTGGGTGAAAGGAAGTCGAAAAGTTTTGAGATTAAAACCCATTCCTAACTGTATCTAAATTGATGCTTGTGATGTTACTCTGAGTGTATATCCACACCGGGCAAGCTTGAAAAATATGCCTGACCACGGTGGGAATCGAACCTATGCCCAATGCTCTGCCAACTGAGCTACGTGGTCTGGTCGGTTTGAGTATGTGATATTTCGGAACAGAATCTAGCTCCTTCGATATCAATGTTATCTAGCTCCTTCGATATCAATGTTATCTAATGTATCTAAATTGTTCCTGAGCAAATCATTCCTGAACAAAGTTGTATTGCACCCTAATGTGACCTAATCTGTCGAATGCTAGATGATTTTATGAGAGCTAGAGAGAGACCACTAATACTCAATACAGGTACATATATTGGATTATTGGTTGTGTGAAATCTTATTATCTTTCCTTGAAAAGTTGAGGCTTTGTGGTACGAAACATTTGTCCGAATGTTCAAATGAAATTAAAATAACTTTTGCCCTACACATACTTTATGACTGCTCCCTAAGAATTTTTTTTAAAAACTGTATAATTACAAATATATATTCAATTAATTTAATTTTAATTGTGAAATGTACAATTTGGTACAATTGTACACCCTCCCCCCAGTGTTTTGTTTTCTTCGCGGGCACTTAATGCTTATGTGCCCCCTCTCCCGGTACACCCAACATACCACTCCTATAATGATGAAATATATATATATATTTTTAAAGTTAATAGCAATTAGAACAACATTAGAATAGAAGAGAAAAAAGTTCTAAATTTCTAGTTGCCTAACCAGATGAAGCAAAATTAATTGATTCATATTATCAAACTATACAATATGGTAGAACTAAATTTTAGACAGAAGACTTAATTACATACTTAACCCATTGAGTGGCAGCACTCTCCACTTGACAAGTTAAATTGTTTGGCACTTAGACAGAGTATAAGTAAGGCACATTACCATGTAAAACATTAACAGGGTGCATTAACCAATCGTGTGATTTAATATCCATTGACTGAGTGTTCCCCTTGACACCAATAAAATCATCTGGTGTTACAGTAAAAAGAAAGGTAGGGCTCGCCTCTGGGTGCATTGTCACTTAAAGGGTTAAAATTACTATGAAAATTGACAAGTGATTGTTAAAAATGTATACTTGCTTTGCACGCATTGGCTTGGTGGCCTCTCAGGCCACATTTGTAACATCATCCTATAAATTTAATGAAGTAAAGATTAGGTATGTAAAAATGGAATTAACAATTTCTAGTTATATAATCACAATCTTATGAGTTGGTACAGTACCTTTTTTCCTTGATTCCACATCATCAACTAATTAGCATTTCAAGGAAAAAATAGAGAGTGTTAAACAGAAATGATCCTGATGGGAGGGTTGTAGAGGATTGGAAAGAAAATTTTAACATTGGTCACTGCATCTCTGATCAGTCTTTTAAGACAACACATACGATCAAAATCATTAAATGTACCTTTCTCTCCCTTATCTTGTTCTTCTTCTTCTTCAACCTCCTTTGCAGGAGGCATGTTATCATCATCCGGTTCTAAAATAAAACATTTGTTTTAAGGTATAATGCAACCATACCATATATGGTATGTAAATTTGGTTACTGTGAAAATGAAGAAAAACATTTATTGACTTATGGTGTTTATTACAACCAAATCTGTCGTTCTTTTCTGTTGCCACTATAAAAACCATACAGGTATTACTATTAGTCATGGAATTTGACATAAACAGGGTGAAAAAACATATGTGGCTTACAATACTAGCTTAAAACTTATGTTGAAGAATATTTTTGAAAATAAATTTATTGTAAATGTCATTGTGTTATTCACAATTATGGATTATTTTGCGTATAAACTGACGAAGTGCAAAATAATTCTTGAATCTTGGGACTTACTTTTTCGAGTTGTCGCCAACCTAGAAAAGTATAATGACAAAAGTTGACCACTTAAAACCTCAGTACCGGTACTGGAAAGGTGTTTGCTGACTCCAATAATAAAAACGGTAATAAATTAATATTTCCGTACCTTCAAATATTAAAATATATCACTTCTTGAAAGTACTATATTGAAAAATATGCAGAATTTTATACTACATTTTGCCAGTACTGAAATGGCAAAAAGATGTTTTGACATCGAAAAATGGGGAAAAATAATGATAAATAACCCAAAAATATCTAAACTCATTATAGCAGTTCAACTAAGTAGCATTTTTAAAAAATATATTCAGTTTAAGTTAAATATTTTGTTAAAAAGCATAGTTTTTTTTTTTTTGCAAAACCTACCGCAGTCCACAGAAAACGAAGAATATACAATACTAATAATAATATTTAATATTTATATTGTGCAAATTTACATGTTATAGTATATAATCAAATGCGCATATGATCAAATGCGATCATATGCGCATTTGATCATATATAGAGACATTTTCCCGCGCTTTGCAATTCAAACTACCAGTCAGTGAGTCTATACATATGTGGAGTGATAATGTCTATGTATACAAAAATAGTATATACCATACCTATAGTTTTCCACAAATGGCATGTGGGGTTAGACTGCATTGCTTGCATATTTATCTGTTAAAAATACCGAGAGAGACTATTTACCCATGCACTGTTCATATATATTGAAGAATTAAAAGCATAATATTTACTGGAGCACATCTACATATTAAAGATGGTGTCCGCTCGTGTACGCATGTGCGAACTTTGTTTACATTTTGAACTGCTATATTTATAAAATATGATATACTAGCTGAATATCTAACACTTTTCTGGTTCACCATGCTTGAAAATGAATATAAACTTTACGTTTCAATTCAAAAAAGTTTGAAAGATGCAAAATTTGGGCAATGTTTATATATGGGGGTCCACCTTTGTTATGAGCAGAACTGATGCGCAGAATGGAGTGTACTATAACAGAAAGTATGTACTATAACACACTTTTCCGTTTCCTTGCAGATCTTCAAAAGTCTGAGGGATGGCAATCTAAGACCTCCATTCGTCTTCCATGTTACAAACAAGTCTGGAATGCTTTCCTTGTTTGTTGTCAAAGCCGCAACACATTGCGGACAATGGATCTTTTTCTCTACCATTTTCACAACACACCCAGCGATATAGGATATGGCAGCTTCTTTGTACTCTGATAGTTCCATGGCATTAGAAACATCACAGTAGCTGTGATCATCTGCAGCTGGCGGTCTCAACGCCAAGTCGTATCTCTTGCTACATCAGAAATTCCAGTAGGCAAGGAGTTGATTTCATGTTGATCCTGGACACTGTTCAATATCTCCGTATCATCTTGAGAAGTACAGTTTCCACATTCTCCTTCGATGTTGTGCCTCATCAGCAGTTACTTGTATGCTGCTATAAATTGACGAGTTGTTGGATTATTATTCCACCTTCCAGAAGCTCGCACAGCTGAAAGGAATAATTCCAAGTGATCTTGGCTCATCTTGTACGTCAGAAGATACTTGAGTACTGGATTCTCTACATTAACGAGATCTTCTGCTAATCCCACAACAGCATTGATGCACAAAAGGAAACCAGGAAATCCTGTTTTCCTTTTTGATGAGGATCGATTGGCCATCTGACGTTTTCAGATTTCGAATATAGTCACTTGCCTTGTCTAGAAACCTCTTCGTGTACTGGTAGTTTGATCTTCTAATTGGCGCCTTGAAATTTCTTGACAACGGATTTCTGGAAGTTAGAACATCAAAAACATGATCAAATACACAAATAAATTTGACTGTTGGACCACACCCTTGAAATTGTGGCAATTTCAGCTTACCTTCACAATACTCTAAAGCATCTGCAACACTCGAACTGAGCACCTGCGCTGCCAGGTTTACCTTCATTTTTTGCGGCTTCCACTTAATGTGAGAGGATCAGAGCTTATTGGCTAGATGTAAACCCTCTGATTCTTGTAACTTATGCAATTCCTCCAAGAATTGCCACTTTACGACTCTGCCATCTTTATCCTTTAGAAACTTCCAATCAGACATGGTGTTTCTCACCAACTTTATCATGTGACAAGCATCTAGGAAAATATAGATCTTGGCTGTCGGGATGTTGGAAGTACGCTTGCAAGCTCTCAGGTAACAGTTGTGCGCCAAGCAATTTCAACATTGCCTGGTGAGACGTGAGACCATCGCATATAAAATAGACCACCTTCACCCCTACTTCGTGCAACTTGGTTATACATTCTTTGGTCAAGTTGGCTTTCTCTTCTCCAGTAAGACCATTCACTAGAAAATACCCACATGGCACTTTCCAACCGGAGTTTACCGACACCGCCATAAATACAAGGGCGTCCATTGCTTCGGGTAGTGAATCGTCATTGATGCCTGTACCAAGGTCAACATAACTGCGGAACTGCTTACCATCCCACTCGACATGTTTGTGTATGGACATCTCATCAAGCATAAGTGTGCAAACAACTTCTTGGTTATCTCGTTCTGCAGCTAGAACTTTGGCTCTCAATGCCACCAATGTGTTCTTAGTGAAACCTGCTTCGCCATTCATAGAACTGTACCACGACCGAATCACGGATACATGTGGCAGCCCTAAATCAAAACTATTCCGAACATAGTTATACGCCTTTGTAGAATAAAATTTCAAGGTCAGGGAAAATTATCTAAGCTCTGGTGGATACGCCCCAGGATTTTTCTTTTTCTTTTGTGTCACTAACCTTTTCATGAGCTCCCTAGGAACTCCAGAAAAAGTCGTTTTTAAAAGGGCTGCACAATTACTATTGATTAGATTTTTCTCTTTCAGTTCACTTACCACTGAAGCCAACATACTAACCTTTCTGTCCCTTCTCCTCGTTTTCTGTTGCACTATTTTCAATATCTTCTTTAGATTTCCTACTTCACCTATAAGATGATCAACTTGTCTCCTCACTCTATGAGGAGATTTTATACAATATGAGTGATCATTTGCACTTTTCTCAGAAGAACTGGTTGTACATGTACATGCTCTTTTTGGAGACGTGCTTACCTCATTTATCTCAACATCATCCGAGTACATTCTCTTCCTAGCATACTTATAGTGTCTTCGATCGTCACCTCTTCAGTGATTTCCGGCATGTCTACACTGCCTGTGGTAGTTACCTCTTCATTGATCACTTGCAAACTTGATGCTTCATCACTTACATCATTTTCATTTCTTATTACTGCTACTATTAAACAATCTTTTTCTGGTGGCATACCTTTCAATTGCCCTACCTCTATAACTTCCTTGTCAATGGGTTTCTCATTCTGCCCTCCATTCCTTGATGCCTGAACAAGTGAAATATTACTGAAATTAATTTATTTGGCCAGGTGATCCAGCGGAAGTAGCTATATTCTCTTTATAGTTATTTGTATACAGGATGGAAACATCTTGTAGGGAGATTGCGTTTTCCATTTAAACAAAAAAATAGTAATACTTGTCTTGAATTATTATAGTGTATATACACACTATTCAGGGTACAATTTGAAATACAAAAATAGCAAACTAAACTGAAAACTGAAACTAGATGGGATGACCTCTCCATCAGACCGCATTTGGGAGGTTTAAATAAACCCAATAAGAAATATAAGCAATACCAATCTAGGTGATTTCTGCAACTTGAAGATCAACATAGAAACTTATTTTAAAAAACTGTTCCTGACCACACATTTTATAGGTAAAATATATTAACATTACAGAAACTAGCCATCAATGCAGGGTCAACCCTTAATTTAAGGGAAAGCTCAAGTACAGCTTTCTTTACTATTTCACCAATCTCATACCCAGAGTATTCCTGTTTACAGGTTAGCAGGTTTTTTCATGTTGCATTTTCTTGTCATGAATTATATTTGATAGTATAATACAGTGATAATTGAAATTTTCTGAATAATTTTTATAAATTAGTAACAGTATGTGTTTCCCCTACAATATACAATATATAAAACCTGTGTCATTATACAGAGCCATTTCAATTGGTCATTTATCATGCCATGATGTAGTTGACTAGTCCATGATCATAATCAATGAAATTTCTATTTCTAACTATGTTTATGTGAGCATTATGAAATAAAGATAAACTTCGAATCTACAAAGAAATCATCGTTTTATATAAAATTTGCTTTGCTTTATTAGGATCTTCGCGACATCCATGCACAAATCCTGATGTTGCGTCAACCAATGAAATTCATTAATTCATTCGATTTCTCCAGAGCTAATGCCTAACCTGTGAACAGGCCATGCTCTGGGTACAAGACTGCTATTTCACTGTTCAAATCTAATCTAACACCGGATGTAGAAATGTGTTTATTATATCAACAAATAATTATAACTAATAGAGACACACACCTGAGAATACTGAAATATTGTTGGGATAGCATTTGGCTTCAGTATAACTCGTTCTCTATCCCCCTTCACCATATCCGAGCTAAAATGTTGCAAACAAAGGCGACTTCCTTTCATGGGGACAAACTTAACAGGGGCATTCTTGTTCACATTTTCCATCCATTTTGCATATATCTCAGTGTTTTTCCTGGCATCTGGGAAACTGGAAGAGAATACAGTACTTATATTATACTTACAAATATTTTTCTTCCAAATGTTAATTAAAATATTTAATTTCATAATATAATTTCGAGTGCTGTGAATTAGGGTCTAAGTCTAGCACTTGTGCTCATGGGTTTTATTAACCAGACTATATCCACCCACATGCCTAATCATTGCACCCTAATATGTCCTATCTGCAGCATTTTATCATTTTCAGGGTAAATTATTCAGTGCTGGAGCTCATTATGGGTTAATAACCCATCAAGTTGCATTGCACCCTAACACACTCTACTTATTATTTTACTCTGTCCAATGTAAGACGATTTTGCCTAGACCTAGTATTCATGGGAGAGCGCTGGTGCTCAATGGATTAAATTAAACTTTTGTGTACTTTGTACTTTATATATCTGACTATAAATTTATTTACAGTAATATATTTTCAGTCATGACCACCACTCAGACTCAGTAGTAACATAAATTACCATATACTTCTTTGAGGCATTTTATTAACCCAAATTCAATTTCAGTTGTCATGAATATGCATGCATGCATGCATGTGATGTCAATGATTTTGACACCATTAATTGCCCAATTGGCATTTCTGATTGGATATACTATACAGTACATGTAGATATCAGTAGATATCTTTGGGAGTAAAGAAAGCAGGAAAAGTCAAAGTATAATCTATAAAACGCAAATATAATTTATAAAATTTTTCCAAAAGGCAATATATATTAAAAAAGTCCATTTTTTGAAACTCGTATAAAATTTCCTTAGGCTTAATAGATATAAATTAGAGTTTGTCATTGTCCACACAAACCATTTGGCAGTACCCTATCCAGTATCCACTATAAAATACATAAATATACAACCGACACCACTTTCTGTTTGTATATTTGGCATATTTGAAAAGTTTAATTTTAAAAAACAGGTCAATTTTTTACTGTGGTATTGGTAATATAAAACTGACAATAACTAGTGAGTGCTGGAGTGATTGGTAAACTAAAAGTATAATAAATATACAGTCTCTGCTGTTTGAAATGACGGGTTTTGACATTGGTACATTTTGTGTCCATGCAGACCCACACAGTCAGTTTTTGATTTTTAAGTTTTTCTCATGAATTGTTAAAGATTTTTACGACCTGCCTTGAGAAAGTATTGTGGCATCCATAAGCCGAGCAAAAACGAGGCATTTTTGCGAAGTTGTTTGAAGCCAAAGGCGGGAAAAAGCCAAAAACCAGGGGGGTGAAATTGTCATCTGAAGTCGAGGATCACGGTTGGCCAGAGGTAATTACCATGAGGATTTGGGACCAGTGGCGTCATTTTGGCATCAGCAGACATGAAAATCCTCCATGTTTTTGGCTTCACCTCTTGATGCCGAGCACTTCCTCCAGATATATTATAGCGCAGTGGGCTACCCTGATAAACTCAGAGTAACATCACACAAACATGATATTAAATGTATTTGAAACTTATCAGTTGTGTTCATTTGTGTGTTGGTCTTCAATATGGCAACACAGTTTTATCTCACCCTACCGAGTAATAGTTTGTTAGCTTATTTTCCAAATACGGTAGCGAATTTTAGAGCAAGTTCCCTTACACAAACCAACCCCACAATCTGGACACCATGTTGTTATGCATGTGTTCCCTTGTACCCTTGGTCTCGATCTTGGGCACACACTGCACATTTCTTTCTTTTCTTGTCTGGGATAACTTGAAGAAAATGCCTTTGGAGTTTCCTTGCTTCAGGAGAACCAAGGCTTGGTCTGCCTACCTTCTTTCTTGGTTCTTCATAGCCACCAATAAGGCCCTGTACAAGTTCAACCAAAAATTCCAGATGTGTCTTGTGCTTGCCTCGGATATTTGGATTACACTTGTAGCAGATATAAGAATTAGTTGCAGTTCTATCTATCAAATGGAACACTACCTTCTTCCAACATTTTACTCTCCTCTTTTCAGATGCATATTGGTCAGTCATTTGATCGGAGAGGTCATCACCACCCATACCTTTGTTGTACTCGATGACAACATTTGGTACAACTTATTTACTACCGCCACGCCTTTCAATTTCTGTCATGTTTGCTGTAGCATGGGTAGACAGGAGACGCACTTGCTTGCGGTCCACCCAACTGACTGCAACCAGTTGTCCTTTCCTTGAAGCTATCAATATCGCCTTTTCTCTTTAGTACTACTTTTTTTATATCACCAGGCAGGCCTGGTCGGTTGCATCACACTGTGCCTGTAACATAAATGCCTTTTTTCAGCATTTCCTCACATAGAGCAATACTTGTATAATAATTATTCACTACCAGATGATGATTTTTATTGCCATGACCTGTCAGAAGTTTATCACAAACATCGAATGGTTGACCATATTGGCTGACTTTCAAACCTTTTGTGTGATAAACAGTTTGGTGACAGTATCCAGTCTCTGCATCACAAAGATTGTATTCTTTGGGTCCCCACTGATGATGTTTCTTTATTTTTATGTAATTTACCAGATGATGTCTCCCTTTGAAACCCACAATGCTTTCATCAATAGAAATGTTTTGTCCCAATTCAAACTCTCTAGCCCAGGTAGAATTGAAGTGTTGCAAAACATTTCTAAATTTGTAAGTTAAATCATAGTTGGCATCACCTTTGCTGGGTTCTAAATCACTGTCTGAGACACGGAAAAAATGCAACAAAAGTTTGAATGTGTCTAGTTTGAATACCTTCCTAAACATTGGGGTATCTTGTGAATAGTCCTTGCAGTTCCAGTAAGACTCTATACTATGCTTTTTTATCAGCCCCATGTTTAGGATAATACCAATGAAAGCTTTCATCTTGTTTACATCAACATCCTCCCATTTGCGTACTTTACTCTTTGGACTGAGAACAGGGTTTTTACGTACATAGTATTTTTCATATTTGTTAGTCTCTTGAACCAACAATGTCCAAAGGGACTGGCCATCTTCTTCCACAGGAGCAAAAAATCGGTTGAAATATTCAACAGCACAAGTGTCCTCACTAGGAGTATACATTGGTCTGGTAGAGCATGTGAAATCACCTACAGAGGATGCAGAATCCTTTTCGAAATCTGTAATAATTTTCCATATTTCTTGAAGTGCTAGTATGCGGTACAGTTGGGTCAACATCCATGACATCTTGCACATCAGCATCACAATCAGATTCATCACTATTATCAAGCTCAAAATCGCTGAAATTCAAGTCACTACTACCATCTGAGTCAGATTCTTGGTTATTTGTATCTTTCTCAAGACCCAACAAAGTAAAAACGTCATTAGCAGTTAAATTATATGTCCTTTTACGTCTTGAACTTGTCCCTTCTTCATCGGACGCCATCTTGAATAATTGCAACACATGTAGCTTCTGAAATACTGACGGTTTATGAGTGTTTTTTACGTGATACTCCGACCACCCAATCGAATTATGTATTTCAATTATGTTAAAATATGCTGACATAATCAATCCGGAAAATTGTGCAGAAAAACCCAGATTTTGATTGATTGTTTAAACATACAACCGGAAGCGACATTAATGTGTCGCTTTCCCCAATTAGGAACGGGACAAAAATGTGGCTCTACCTGCAAAAGGGTTAAGTCACGAGGAAAACAAACAGCATCTGATGTTCCAGAAAACGCTGCAAGAAAGTAATGACCGGAAAGGGTCGCAAAAAGGATATAAAATAAGCTGCGCCGGCTAAAACTCCCATTCCCGGTCCAACCAAGAAGCAGAAAACATCTCTCGATAACTATAGTCCAAAGTGGCATGGCTCAAGTCGCTGAAACAATGCATAAAGGCTCCTGTATGCTTTCAAAATCTGAACTTGATTTATTTTCTGTTCCACCGACTCAAGTGGTAATGGAAAAAGGATTTTGGGAAGATGTTGATCCCATTGCGAGTATATCTTCTTCGGATACGATAGAATTTTTATGTGCTGCAAATTCTGGAGTTTATACCGACTTAGCAAGCAGTTACCTATACGTTAAAGCAAAGATAACTACCGCAGCCGGAGGTAATATGTGTGCAGACACCCAAGTTGGACTGTCAAACCTTTGGATGCATGCATTGTTCTCACAAGTTGAAATATTTCTGAACAACAAACTGGTCACCCCATCAAGCACAGCCTACCCTTATCGGGCGTATATCGAAACGATCCTGAACTTTAGTAAAGACACTAAAGATTCACATTTGACCTCAGCACTATTCTACAAAGATAAAGCTGCAAAGATGGATGTAGTAAACCCTCTCGCACAAGATGCCAAGGTCAATATGGGATTAAAACAACGCCATGCATATACACATGAAAGTAAATCGGTCGCCATGGAAGGTAGAATTCATTCTGATCTATTCGTGCAAGACCATTATATTCTTGGTGCTGTTCCAATCAAGATTAAGCTGGTGAGATCTAGAAATCCGTTTTGTTTGGTATCATCCGCAGAAAATACCAATTTCAAAGTAGTCATTGAAGAATGCTTGTTTCGTGTACGACAAGTTAACGTAGCCCCTAGTATTATATGACTCATTCCCAGTCCCTACAACAAACCGCTGCCAAATACCCAATCAACAGGATTGACTGTAAGGTTGTCTCCATACCTCGGGGGAACATGTCTGGAAATCAACCTAATGTATTTCAAGGTGCTTTACCAAATCGTATTGTGATTGGAATGGTTGACACAGATGCCTTTATATAACAGTACATATATACGAAGAACCCGTTCAATTTTAAAAATTACAACCATGGGTCTCACTGTCAACGGAGACAACTTACCTGGAAAACCACTACTGTTGAAATTTGGAGCAGAAAGTAACCACATTTCTGCTTTTCAAACCCTGTATGCGGGTACACACAAGATTTCTGAAAATCAGGGCAATGGTATAACTCGTGTAGAATATGCACGGTTATATGCTGTTAGTGTTTGACCTCACGCCAGACCTATGCCTTGGTGATCATGTACAAATGATTAAGAATGGAAAAGTGTCAATTGAATGTCGATTTGGAACACCTTTTAGTCTGTGTGTTGTGACCCGATATTGCTCACTTTCATTAAGCATGTCTTAGATCTGAAATATTTTTGCGGGAACTAACACTTTCGAACACGCTGAGTTCAAATCCGAAAAGTTCCCACTCCGTAGACCCGCAGTTTTTTCACAAAATGCTATTTCATCTTCACTAATTTC